ATTTATAATAAGACCCACCTAAGGGTATCATAACTAGCGTTAGACTTCTTGAGCGTCCACTTAATATGCCTGTTGGTTGCCTTTTTTCGGAAAGACGGACGAAAATGCAACAGACCGATAGCTATGAGGATAAGACACCCGTAAATCCATTTCATTCCTGGATTGACTGAGATTACAATGCACATTACAACAACAAAAGATCTACCAAAAATATAATAGATGAGTGGCCACAGATACGATTTTTGGCACAAACCTATATTCTATGCAACTCGAGTTAAAATAACTGGTTTATTTTTATACAACTTGACGTCAACTATCAATCTATTTAGCTCATTAATTAAAATGCCAACCGGTACATCGACAATAAAAAAGTAAAATCTCGAGGCAGCACGATACAATTCGTTACACACCGATTCTAGCTCCTAAACTGCTATTGAAACTGGGTGAAACGACCTAGTAAAAGTATGTTATTAATTGAACTAATTTCCCTTGAGCACCTCTTGACGAAAATCAGCCACGCATTTTTCATATACTTCTGAGAGATGAGCACACTTTAGGATACGGTCAGGATTTGCCTTTAAACATTCCATAATTTCCTGAAATGAGTGATGTATGCTATGCGCACATTAAAGAATGAAACGTATTCTATCACTGTAAGGTGCGATATTTGACTAACCTTCTCATTGTCGGCACATACGTTTTCTCTGTGATAGGCAAAGAATTTGTCTTGAACACGTTCTACAGTCTCATCGAATATTTTCTTTCTTTCCTCGATCTCGTCAGGTAATGGAGGTACAGAAGAATATACTCCGTTCGCCTGGAAAGGAAATGCAACTAACGCAAAATCTAAGTCGCAAAAGCGAAAGAATTTGTGATGACCTTGCGCTGCTGTAAATCCGAGAGACTAAGCATTTCCTGTCTCAAACGCGCCTTTTCTTCCCTTTCTCGAGCCAGCTCATTTCTAAAAAGAACAAATCAATCATGAAGCAATTCCTCACTTATTGTATAGGCCCACGCAAAAATTTATAGCAATCTTGGACATTGAGTGAAAGAATAGATTTTCTAGCTTTGGTTTTTTATAAACGCAGAAGTTATGAACAATCGTCTACATAAGATATAAGCTACTCTAGTCATTCTCTTTGAGAACTAATACAGGAATAAAGAATAAACTTTTACCGAACATTTTGTAGCCCTAAGTTAAAAAAATCTTTTAGATATATAATGAAGACTAGTTATG